TGGCTCATTTTTGCACGTGCAGGTGCACGGCCCATTTGTGCGCATGCACGTAGCGATGCCTGCCTCCTTTTCCGGGCCGCCAAACCAAAAAGGTTGGAGACCTCTGCATTAAGGGACGTAGCTTTTAGTGGACTTATTTGTATCCGAAAACTCTGTGGAATTACAGCTAGTCCTCGACTTATAACAGTTCATTTAGAGACCATTCGAAGTTACAACAGCACTGAAAAGAGTAACTTATGGCCATTTTTTTCATTTACAACCGTTGCAGTATGCCATGGTCACGTGATCAAAATCCAGCCGCTTGCAACTGACTGATATTTAGGACACATCCAGGGGTCATGTGATCCTCTTTTACAACCTTCTGACAAGCAAAGTCAATGATTCACTTAACAATGGTGTCACTAATTTAACAACTGCAGTGATTCACTTAACAACTGTAGCAAGTCATAAAATCGGGCAAAACTCACTTAACAAATGTCTCGCTTAACAACATTCATTTTGGGCTCAGTTGCCAGTGTAAGTTGAGAACGACCTGTAGTGCCTTCCACTGACACTATTCAATCTATACTGCTTCTATACCTAATTCTATATGCTTCAAAGCACACCTGGTACATTTCTTACTGTACTCCTAACTCATTTATTATCCGTGTGCATTGCTAAACAAAATATGTGTTTTCTTTCTTAATGGGTTGACCCCAACTTTGATATCTGGGGCAATGTTTTATACTTTTTCTACATCCTCCCCTCCTCCTTAAAAGTACCTTGAGTGCTACTCATTCCTCAAATAGGTATCAAGTAAAAGATGTGTTGAATAGAGACAGAATTTATTATTGGAAGACGGCAATTATTTCAAGGACTTTGTGTAAGGGAAGAGCGTTCAAAAGTTCACAATGCTGAGAGCCCAAAGCAAGGTATGCAATATTTCTATGTCTATGGTTTGCTACTCAACAGAAGAGCTCAGACTGTGCCTTACACCCGATCTTGTGAAGATAGCTGAGATCATGATAACTCTGGGGTGGTGGAATGCAATGGTTTCTTCATCCACCCAGAAATCCTATTTTAGCACCCTATCAAAACATCATTTATGATGTTTCAAGACTTTTTTCTCCTGTAATCAATTATCATGATCAATGAAACCAAAGAATGTCCAAGCAAGTGGTCATCGGATTGTTATAAACCAGATGGTTTTGATGCAGAACAAAGGGGTTTAGATGACTGATAAAGTGTCTGTAACCAAGTTTCATACATTTGAGAGCTGTATTAGTTACCTAGATCTGTCAACTGAAGTTAAAACCAATGGATTCATCTGGTTTAACAGCAACTGGGTCTCTTTAGCTTGGATTGTTAATCAGGAGAATAAAAGTAACTCTGCTGCATGAAGTACAATGAAGCTATTCACAATAATACAATTTTGAATATTAATAGACATGGGCTTAGGATTTAGCTATTTGGATGCTAATGTGTTTCCGAAGCGAAATACCTTGACATGCCAGATAGCCGTCAATCCCCAATAATAAACTCACTCTATTATGTTCATCTGTGTTAAGGGAATGTTAATATACCTTTCAAAACAATTAATTCAACACTAATTGTAAGTGAGGCAGCTCATTCTTCCTTTTATTCTTATGCCACTAAGTTTACAGGTGATTTTAATTGCCATGGTAATCAGTGATAATGAAGAGGTAAATTGTTTCTGATTAAGTAATATTTGCATCATAATGTTTTCAAATACATTTATTGCACTAAAGCCTGTTGCTATTGTGGGTGGCCCTTGGTTCATTCTATATACTTACGTACCTTTCATAACTGAATAGTTATACAGGCTTAATTACACATAAGATTATAGATTCATATCAGATTGCATGCAGATTTGTATTCACCCAGGTATACAATAGCAATATACATTTCTTATATGCTTGCAATAATTCAAAGTGGAGGGGAAAAAAACCCAGCTGACGTGATCTGAATTAGACTTATTATTGTCCCTTGCTCCCTCAATGTGTGTTTTTTTTTTAATGCAAAGGAAACGGTAAAGGTGAAAGTTTCCCCTGTCCTGTCCTGTCCAATTCTAGAGGGCGGCGTTCATCTCTGTTTTTTGGATGAGGGAACCAGTGTTGTCCGAAGACCCTTTCTATGCTCATGTGGCTAGCACGACTAAGCCGTGGTGCATGGAGTGCTGTTATCTTCCCACCAAAGTGGTACCTATTTATCTACTCGCATTTGCAGGCTTTCAAATGGCTAGGTAGACAGACGGGAGCTGGAGCAAGGAACGGGAGCTCACCACATTGCACGGAGCTCAGTTCTTGAACGCAGGCTGCCAGCTTTCCAGCTGACTAGCTCAGCGACTTTAACCGCTGAGCCATGGTGTCCCCCACTTTCATTATGTGACGAAAGGAAAATTATATCCAGAGGAATATTTCTTAACCTTGGCCACTTTAAAATGTGTAGACTTCAACTCCTAAAATTCCCCAGCCAGCTTCAATTCCCAGAATCCCCCAAGGCTGGCTGGATAATTTTGGGATTTGAGGTCCATACATCTTAAAGTAGCCAAGGTTGGGAAACACTGACCTAGAGGAATATTATCGATGTGGGTCTATATATGCACACATTTTTAGTGAATTACGTTACAGACAGTAGGCAGATTGTATGGCTGGTTTGGGGGGTACGTGGGACGAACTAGTGCAGGGCTAGGCAGCCTTGGCTCTTTTATGACTCGTGGACTTCAACTCCCAGAATTCCTGAGCCAGCCATGCTGAGGGGAAAGGGAGAGGTTTCCAAGCTGAACCAGGCTGGCTCAGGAATTCTGGGAGTTGAAGTCCACAAGTCATAAAAGAACCAAGGCTGTCTACCCCTGAACTAGATGAAGTGGTCAGAACCTGGATCTGCAAGGAAATATGGATGGCAAAATGTGATCATCTAGCCTTAAAATTCCCTTAAACTGTGGAAAGATCTACACAATATTAATTTAGAATTAGAAGGGAAAAATGTGAGTGTAATTTTGCTGAAGCCATCAAATATACACACCTACTGCAGCAAATCATGAATACAAACACATACCTTCAATTTTTTAGAAGCTAAAAAAAACCCCTTGAAATAACACAGCACTAATTGCCTTGCTGAATAATAGATTACAAACCAAAGATGTACCTTTTTAAAATAATAATAATAATAATAACCTATGCTGATTTTATTGTAAGATACAAATGACCGGTTGAAGCCCTGAGGAGTCCTACTACCCTCAATTCACACTCATTACGTGATTTATTCTGGTGCACAACTAAGATACCTTGGCATCTTGTATAATGTTTGTCGAGAGAGAAATATTACTATTTTTTCCCTCAGACCGAATCCCATCAGATTTGCTCACTGGGTAGAAAGGACAAGCTGTGGTCACACACTGTGCATTTTTATGTGTTTCATGATTGGGATGGATTAAGCTGTGCTTCAACACGGAACTGGAATGATCACAGAGGGAAGAACAGCAAACCGCAGAGTGAAGTAATCTCTCGTTCAACCTAATTCATATTGGTGTCATCTCTCTTCTCTGTTTCGGAAATCCAATGGGATGGAGGAGAAAGCGCGCATTTCAGCAGTGCTTTGCAACTCTGCAAAGCAGAGATATTAAGAGCCTATTGATTCGTTCCCTGCCTTCCTTCTCATACCCTCTCTCCGCGAATGCCCTCGTGCACAATATAGTGTCAGTTCAGTTACCCAGCAAGCTCAGCGTGGCTTCCTTTATCATATCCAATTGTCAATCTGCACTGAGGCTGGCAGCTAAAGCCAGCTGTTGCAGCTCATAAAAATAAAAAAAAGAAGAACTGTCAAGAGATAGAGTAAGGACAGTCTCCAAGCTGCAAAAGAAAAGTGTTTGCTATCACCCACGCTCTTGGAAAGAGCTTGCAAAATAGGGATCATTTAAAAACCTAAAAACCGACACTACTGCATTTTTAAAGCCAAAGCAACGCGGGAAGCTCGTGTAAGTCGATGCAAAAGACTTTAGAAAAGATATCAGACAAACAACACGGAGAGAGCGAACGCGGCACTCCAAAAGAACTGAGAAAGGGTTTAGACAGAGTTGGTTCTCCGTCATTAACAGTCAAGTGTTTTTTTTTTATTTGTTAAGTGTATTTATTAAATGGATGTGCTGTCTCTTTCACCTGTAAGGCTACTCTAGATATAGAGTAGCCTTATAGATGAGACTAAAAGGATCAATATAAGAAAAGTTAAAATATATAATAATGTCAGTGAAAACACGATTCCTGGGTATATCCATGTCATAAAATAAATCAATCACGACCACCAGGAAAATCCAAACTGGAAAAAAATTAATAAATACCGAGCTTTTGTTGGGAACTTCAGACATTGTCAGGGTTTAAAGTTAGACAATAAGTTGTTCCCATTGTCTAACTTTAAACCCTGACGATGTCGGAAGTTTCCAATGAAAGTTCAGTATTTATTAAATTATTTCCAGTTTGGATTTTCCTGGTGGTCGTGATTGATTTATTTTATGATGTGTGTGTGTGTGTGTGTGTGTGTGTGTGTGTGTCCGTGGAACATCATCCCCACAGAGAGAAGACAGGCCCCCACTTTGACACTTTTTTTTTTTTGCAAGGACCTGAAGACTTGGTTTGGCCAATGGGCCTGGGGTCCTCAGAATGGGATGGAGCCCATCAAATGGCTCATTTGATAGTTGTCACCAAGAAAGGTGAGGTGTGGGGGGGGGTTATTATTTTTTTATATTGGGGTTTGATCCCAGAGTCACTGAGAGTGAGTTGGGTGGCCACATACATGTTCTTACTAAATAAAATTAATAAATAAATTGGAACAAAGGAGTACAGGAATGAAACCTTCTTCTTACCATGTCAACCACCTCCAGAGGTCAGAGGCCCCTCAGGCCCCAGGCCAACCAGCAGGACCAGGTTTTAATACCCTTCCTGAAGGCCACATGAGTCGGGGCATTTACTGAGTTATCAAATCTTGCTCCATCCACATCCCCTTACCTTTGTTCATGTCAATCAGCTGCTTTTTCTTCTTCTGCCTCTCCAATTTTTCGCGTTCTGCTTTCTCTTTGGCAAGTTTGGCTCTCTTGGTCTTTTCCTCCATTTCTCTCCTTTTATGGTTCTCCTTCAACGCTTCCTGTAGTAATCATAGCAAACACGGGAATGGTTTATGCAGAGAGAATTGAGAGGAACCTCGTTTGTTACGGACTTGGTTTGTATTTTTTAGTTGTCTGGAGGGGGGGAAAAATACATGGTATAATGTCACTTTTCAAAGCACCAGGAGGATAAGTTCTTTTTTGTGAAACAATGACTACTGTATATGCTGGCGTATAAGACGACTTCCGCAAGCGCTAAACTCGGCACCAAAGACGGGGGTCGTCTTATACGCCGAGTCGTCTTATACGCCGGAAATACTGGTAGTTTCCGGCGTATAAGACGATGTTCTAGAAATGCGGTTCGGCGACAAAGACGGGGGTCGTCTTATACGCCGGGTTGCCTTGTACGCCGGCATATACGGTAGTTGTTTCACTGTTTTAGTCTGATAACCTACAAACCAATCCAGGCCAAGAACTCCAGAGAATAAAACAGTTAAATCCAGATAGAAGAAAATTAAATGAATAATAGACTTTTAATAGGTGACATCTCAGCAGTTGAACAAGGACTTTGTTAAATAGGGATATACTTCACCATAAAATGGTGGAATGGGAGGCACCTGGAGAAACATGTTTTGAAGTTATTCCTGGCCCAAGAGGGAGGTAAACAAAAGCACAAAACAAAACATATCAAACAGACTTCTGTCCTTATGCATGTAAGGTTAGCTTTATCTATGTATAACTTTATGATTTGCTGAGACAACGATGATGCAAAAGTAATAAAAGGGACCAATCCCAGAGAAAATCAGTTTGCTTATTGTAACTATCAGCCTAATATTATTCTATTTCTACTACTTTTAACATAGAGAGAAGGATATTAGCTGGGAAGGACCAAGATTGATATGAAATGAAAACAGAGGAGCTCAAAACAGGTGATAAACAAAATTTGACTATGAGATTATCAGAACTAGAAATCCAGTAACCTAAAGACTTTTCGCCTGCCAAAATGAATATAAGGGATAGTGAAGAAAGAATGAGGCATGCATTTAATCTGGGAGCAACTTTCTGAACTTTATAAAACTTCTTGTTCGTCCCGAAAGTTTTGCTTTTGTTATGTTTATCCTTTTCAACAACCTTCCAAAGCTTTGTGAATTACTGTTTCCAAAACTGCCTTGGGCAAGTTAGACAAATGTTGTGCCTACTGCCCACTTGTCAAAGAGGTCTTTTGGAGTTGTTGTCATCGGCTCACTCAAAAGCTGGGGATGGTGGTGGTGATGCTGTGAAATGATTTCTACATATTCAACTTGACGAGCTTCATGGAAAAGATAAGTCTTAGTTACCCAAACAGACCTGAGCACTGTGCAGGTTATGATTAATGAACTGTACTGAATAAAACACAGTAAAGAAATGAAACTATAAAATAAGATAAAATAAAAAGCCAGCTAACAGGTCTTAAATTATGGGCACCACTTGCTTCCGAATCAGTCTGGTGGGGAACGTAATAGTTGTAATAATAGCAGCGAAGGAGTTGATCAATCTCTTCCCAAAGTTCAGGATTTGTATCACTGCCCTAAATTAATTTTGATGGCATATGAAGTCAGCATGCCGAATATCCCCTGATGAAAAAACAGGAGAGCCGATGAACCGAGGGCTGAAGCCTAATATTCAGATTCAAAAAGTGCGCATAAAATCAATAAAAATGCTAAGCGTTTCCATTTTAAAAAGCCAGATTACATCCTTATCTGCCCATTCATTTCATGTGATGTGTTCTTCTTTAAAGATAAGGGGCATCAAGAAAAGGATTGTTTTATTAGCCCATTTTGTTCTTTAGAGTAACTTGGTGACAGCAAGTGCCCCTCCTAAAGCAGCGCCTCTTTTTCTGCAGAAATTAAATGTGCACTATTAATCGTATCGATCCATAATAAGTACTGATTTTCCCCAGGCAAAAAATAAAAAAAGAAAATCCGTTAGAGTGAATACATAATAAATTCTATATGTTGTATACAAAAGTCTTTTCTGGGAAAAAATTAAAAGAAACTCTTAAGCTAATTCTGCTTTGATAAATATTGAGAAAATATTTTTTTGTTGTTGACAGCATAAGTCTCTGCAACATTTTTTAAATTTTTTCTATAACAGCAGAAACAGAACTATATCTTCCTGGTTTGGGTAGAAGATTCATGCTGGAAAATGCTAATTAACCTTTAACTGAAGCATGTTAACGAGATTAGCTTTTGGTCCTATGCTTTAGGATAAGAATAGAGAATTACTAGTTGTGCCAGTCAGAGCTTTCTAGAGTTCTATGTCTCTTTGTGTGTATGTGTGTGCCCATGATAGTCTGTCTGTCTGTCTGTCTGTCTGTCTGTCTGTCTATCCTCTTCATCTATCTATCTATCTATCTATCTATCTATCTATCTATCTATCTATCTATCTATCTATCTATCTATCTATCTATCTATCTATCTATCTATCTATTCTACCTATCTATCTCAATTCTATCTATCTATCTATCTATCTATCTATCTATCTATCTATCTATCTATCTATCTATTTACAAAATGAATAACTGCAGTGCTTCCCTTAACAACTGTGACAAGAAAGGTCATAAAATGGGACAAAATTCACTTAACAAATCCCTCGCTTAACAACAGAAATTTTGGGCTCAATTGTGGTCATAAGTCAAGGACTACCTGTACAAGTTAAGGAACTGTCTTACAGATTGCCAGTCATTGCCTCAATAAATCCTTAACTCCTAGAAAGTTTAATATATTAGATAAGACCAACATTTAAAACGGCTAACCAGATATTTGTCTAATACTGCCAAAAAAATACTGCCGTCCCTGTTTACACCGAAGGATCCATCCAGCCATTCATTAATTCTTATGAAGCTGAAAACCTATCCCCAAGGAGTCAATTGTTTCCACCAAACAAAAATAAACAAGCAAGACCTTTTCAGAAACGGGTACTAGGCAGTAGGTAAGCTCTGAGTTTCCCAGTGGGTGGTGTGAAGCAATAAGAACAATAACCACAGACCCAGTTTGCACTGAGCAGTGCAGAGAAGCATCAAGCCTGACATGCAACTTCTGAGGGATGTCATAAAAGATTACAATTGTTGGCAAGCCAAATTATTGTGATTAAACTCTCTAACTGGCAGTTAAAAAAGTATGGAGGCAGCAGTATGGAAAAAGCAGCACAGGAAAATACTGCGAAATACAGATGTAGCCTCCCTTCCCAGCCCGCAGCCTTGAACTAGTCTAGCATCTTCTGTCTTGAGGACTTGTTGTTGTTAATTGCAAAGTCATGTCCGACCCATCGCGACCCCATGGACAATGTTCCTCCAGGTCTTCCTGTCCTCTACCATCTTCTGGAGTCCATTTAAGTTCACACCTACTGCTTCAGTGACTCCATCCAGCCATCTCATTCTCTGTCGTCCCGTTCTTCTATTGCCCTCAATCTTTCCCAGCATTAGGCCCTTCTCCAGTGAGTCCTTCCTTCTCATTAAATGGCCAAAGTATTTGAGTTTCAACTTCAGGATCTGGCCTTCTAAAGAGCAGTTGGGGTTGATCTCTTCTAGGACTGACTGGTTTGAACGCCTTGCAGTCCAATAGTCCTCAACTAGTCTTGAGGATTAGTTGAGGATTATTAGTAAAGAAAAAAAAAGAAAAAAAATGCAATATTTCAGTATTTGAGGGGCTGCCACAAAGAAGAGGGCATCAAAGTATTCTCCAAAGGACCACAGGGCAAGACAAGAAACAATGGTTGGAAACGGATCAAAAAGAGAAGCAACCTGGAATTAAGGAGAAACTTCCTGACAGTGAGGACAATTAACCAGTGGAACAGAAGTTGCCTTCAGAAATTATGGGCGCTCCATCACTGGAGGTTTTTAAGAAGAGACTGGACAGTCTGAAATGGTGTAGGGTCTCCTGCTCAAGTAGACCGCTAGACTAGAAGACCTCCAAGGTCCCTTCCAACTCTATTCTATTCTATTTTATCCTCAAGAACACTATTGCTTGGGTTTGTGAATGTTATCTGCAGAGATGAGTTGTTCACTGAACTCAGGGAACATACACACACAACACACAAACAAACACATTTCTTTTTTCTTTGCTTTACTAAGACTCATGCTTTATTTTCAGCCTGCCCATCACTTTGATTTCATCAACTTCTAATTTCTTCCTTCTTCCTGGATCTACTTTTGAGAACTACCCTGAGAACATTTTTGTAAAACAACCTTGAGAGTTAAGAAAAGCCTCACTAATAAGGGATCGGGGAGTTCAAAATTACACTGACTACGGTCTCTGTGGTGTTTTCCATTCATATAAGTATTCTGATATTTTCCAGTGGGGAATTTTTGGTGAAATGTGCTTCATCGTTGCCAGCAATTCTGCTTTCTGCTGTAGTCATCTCCTTAACCTTGAATGGTCACCTTCAGAGCATTCCACTTCCTAGGAAATAAATAGCTATGATATGTCAACAAAGCTGATTCGCTGAGAATACTTTTAAGATCAAATTAATTGGTCATATACGATTCACGTTCATGGATTCAGTTACATGAAAGGCCGAAAGAAATAACCTTCCAGCTTCAAACAGCCCCACTTGAAACAAACTACAAATTGCAAACATCAAAAAGGGCTGAAATTTAAAAAAAAAAAAGGGGGGGGGGAAGAAAAATGAAATAATCACACCTTTAAAATGTCGCTATTTTGACTGACTGATGTTAACATATTGAAGAATGAGATTTGGTTTGCAAGTTGTCCAGCCCTGAAACAGACCAAATTCCCTTCATATATTTAAAGAAGTGACATCCCTACTAGACATCATGAAATCTGATTCATTGTTAATATTCATATCTGAATTCTAATCTGGACAGGCTGTAAAGAAAGCCTCCATTTCATCTCTGGGAACTGATTCTGACTGAATTATTTTGTCGAGGTCTTGCAAAATCTAATGCCACAAGCTCTCCTAAAAGGAATCCCTTGTGTGTGTCGACAAATTCACAATTAGTATTTATTGTCGATCTGAAAAGCAGCTTTGATTCTGAATCACT